TTCTAGCAAAGATCTCACTACGGTTAACACAGATGTTACCTCAAACGGCACCAATGGCGAGATCGGGAAGAAGAAATCACTCTCTTTTCTCTTCAAGAAGATGTTTGTTTGCACAAGTGGCTTCAAAACTCCACCTCCTCTTCTTGATTTGTCTAGAGGAGATTCATTGCCCAATACACGAATGGAAAAGGTACTTTTACACACATCAAAACTAAAACTCTAATAATTAAAGACGGGTGAATCCTATAAACATTTTCTAAGCAATAGTACTCGCGGTAATACTTCGCGAACGATATCTTAAAACTTCACGGGAATTATCGTTTTAAGATAAATATTCTTATGGTTGTTTTGTGTGCAGATGCTTAGGACAATACTCAACAAGAAGATACATCCACAACGTTCAAATGCTATTGCAAAGAAGTATTTGGAGAATAATCATAAGATTATAGTTGAAGCTCGTTCAAGTATTGATGCCAACAAATGGGTCAAGACTGATTCTGAATGTGAGATTTGTTTTAAATGATTCTTTTTTCATATTTATACATGTAGAATCACCGAATAATGGATGATGGCTTATATATTGCAGTATTTAGGTAGGTCAAAAGCATGTAAATAAAACACCATAAGGACAGATTTAAATTCAGAAAGATTAAAAGTGTAAGAATCAAAAAGTAGATAAATAACTAGAGAAAATGTAGGAAAAGCTTATTTCAATTTCTTTGATGATTACAGATATTGTCTTGGAGATGTAGATATCAACCAAATAAGCTAAAGTGGACCTGATTGATAGTCATGGTAATAATTGAATGTAAATAAAACCAAAGTTTTTACTTATTAATAATATGGACATTAGCAAAACATGATTACTGATTTAAGAAGAAAACTAATCAAAATCTTTATGTTTCAGGTATGAAATGAGTGGTGGTGGAAGTTCAAATGTGTTCAAGATATGAAGAATAACATGGAGATGAATCATGATATATCTTTGTCACTACACAGTTTACAGATGTATATTTCTTTTGTCTAATTCCCAAATTTCC